GTTGAATACTCAAAAAAACGTTCCCAACAAAAAAGAAAACTTGACATACCAAAAAAAATAAAACCAACGCCTACTTGTTTTCCTACAGATATTCCTAAATTGCTCAAAATAGCAGACGATTCGGGACGTGACTCCGAAGTTGCCATTATCAGCGACACAACAAATAGATCTCATTTAGATAGGCTAGGTGGAAAGCTGGCTTGCGCGGCAGCGAATATGTGTGAAAGTTTAAATAAATCTATTATACCATCAAGGGAGATGTCGCAAAGAAGTCCTAGCAGACTTTGGTCTAGGGAAATTCCTCAGAATCACGAAGTTTTGTTGTTTCCAATTTTAGAAAAGAAGATAAGTCAAGCTAGGAAACCCCGTTCTTACTGTGGCGTATAACGGGTTTCGCGGTAATTCAACTAGTCAAGTCTTTGTATTCGACAAAGAAAACTTAATTCTTAACAGAGAATGGCTCACAAATATCAAAACTGCCGTTTCTAGTTTTGGCAAAATGTTTCTTAATGCTAATCTTGGTCTGCGTTGGGCATTCCCTTTCGCCATCACACTAACCAAAACATAAGAAACTATAATTATTGTTGATTTCTTGCGTAAACATCGTTTGTTAATCGACTTCGAGCATATACATTTGATCCGTCAGCTCACTGATGTGAGCACAAATACACAACCTACCAAAGAAATTTCTTCTATATTTTTAGAATATAATGAAGCTACCAAACCCTTATTTGTTCGTAGACTGTAGGTACTCGTTATCACACACACACGATTTAAACATCAATCAATCAAACAAAACAATCTTTTTTAAGTCAGATTTAATGACAGCCTATCACCAAGTTCCCATGACCAAAGAGGGTATCCATAAATCCTTTCGGCATGTACGAATTCGTTCATTTTCCGATCTTGGTAACTTTGTTCAAACTTTTGCTTTGTTAATGAAGTTTTTGAAAGACTACATTTCCTCTTCGCATATATCGACGATATACTTATTCAAATAAAGATGAGAAACATATGGAACATGTCGGAAAATATACTTTCGTTGCTTTCGTCGAGACTAGCACACTAGCAAAAAATTATTCATCAATGGTTATTAAAGCATTAAACTTAAAAATAAAATTTTGGTATGGTATAAAATTTCTAGAATTTACTTCGAAATTATCAAATATAACTTTCGATTTTAAAAGCGAAGAAAGTCTTCACAAAGGCAGTAAATGATTTCAGTATAGGCGGCATTCTGCAGGAATATCATAATTACAAAATGGAATCGCTGACGTTCTTTTCAAGGAAATTAAACCCAACCGAAAAAAATTGCCGACACCATTTTGCGTGCTTTTGAAGTTAATACAAGACAACAAATCTCAACGAGCAAGTCTGAATTAAAACACAAAAAGAAAAGACAGAACTTGGAACAGTTTTATCGTTTGATAAATTAGTTAATCTTGAATTGATGGACGCCCCTTTTCCCGATTTGAAAATCTGATTTGAGACAACTTCTTCCGATCTTCCGAGTTACGTTTCTACCAATTTAGACAAATTAGTTTTTGAAAGCTCCATGCCATATTTCACTGAATCCTACGACCTTTTCTTGAGAAGAGTTGAATATGATTAAATAAGATACGAATGCTTAAAAAAGACATGATGATATGGCAAATTATAATTTTGTCAGAATACCTATCGTTCTGTGTTATGATTTATTTTCTGGCACGGCTTTTCCTATGCGAAATTTCATAATTTGGCATATCGATTGGCAAAATGCAACAATTGACAACATTCTTTCCAAATTTTGTGCATTGCTGGATATATGATAGATGCTAAACTTGAGCTTCAGCTACGTTATGTGTTGTGCGGTCGCTAAAAGATTTTTTTTCTAATTTTTGATAATATTATCAATTTTTATTATTTGTTATTAAATTGAAATACTAATAAAAAAACCAAGTTGCTTCGATTGATAAGGATTTCATTTTCAGATATGTGCATGGAATTGGCTCTGAGACGAGAAATACTCTTTTTCATTTACATAACAGTCGAGACATTATTTTGGTAACAACGTGTCGACATGGAAAAAGTTGGCGTGAATTACAAGATGCAAGGTGCGATGAGGATAATCGAGAATACGACAGGTAAAGCTTTTTAACTATTTATAAAGTCTTTTTCTTCTAAAATGTTGTTATTAGTAAATAGAATAAATTAGTTGTTTATTGAATAAATTGATTATTTTTCGTAAATATTTTTTTTTTTAATTATAATGCCACTAAGAAAAATTACCTCTTAATCTC